AGAGGACATCGAAATGTTTTGTTTTTGCTTCAAAGCCAAGTGATTTCTTTAACCAGGGCATTAACAATCTGATTGTAAGATGGAAAAGCAATATAGATAAGAATGGAGACTATTTCATTTAATAAATATTTTGTTTTGATATACAAGTTGTTCGGGTTTTTTCGTCTAATTTCTTGACGACCTAATATATCCTGCAGAACGATCTTTTAAGTCACAAAACTGGTCGAAGAAATGAATAAAGGACAGAAATATAGGAGAGTATAATAATCGAAAATGTGTATATAAAATAAGTTTACAATAAAATTTTACTGGTGCTCACTTACTGAAAATCTACCGTGAAATTAAAGGAAATTCGAAAATGAGTTTGTTCTGAATACATTCGGTTTGTGTTGAAGATCCCCGATTTAACCATCAAATTCGTTCACTACTACCTGACTTCATATATTGAATAATTTTGTTTTTTGCTTGTTAAACACTTGGTGTTAAAGACTCTAGCGGCAACTAGAGGGATTAAATGCGCTATTGGTGACTTTTGTGTGGATCATACGTTACAATGGGACCAATAACCAACAGTGCTATTGGGCCCACAAGCAATTTGGCGAATTTCTAGTTCAGAATAATGTGTTTGGGAAGATGGAGGGTTATGTATCGGTAATTTTAGGGTTAGAGACTGTATTTTTTTTTTAAACAGAAATCATTTCAATTAACAGACATGTCCTGCTTTAACCCCTTCACTTTTATATAATGTTCTTTGTCATCAAACACGAGAGCTTCCCACACATCTACAGGTTAAATATTACTGAACGAATACGTTTCTAACACAGACTCATACGTGTCATATCCATACTAACATTGATTTGTTATGAAGTTCGCGCGAAGCTTCACGAGGGCTATCTGTGCTAGCCGTCCCTTAATTTAGCAGCGTAAGACTAGAGGGAAAGCAGCTAGTCGTCATCACCCACCGCCAACTCTTGGGCTACTCTTTTACCAACGAATAGTTGGACTGACCGTCACAGTATAATGCCCCCACGGCTGAAAGGGCGTGCATGTTTGTTGTGACGGGGATTCGAACCCGCAGATTGCGTGTCGAGCGCCCTAACCACCGGGCCCTCTACTAACATTGAAAAATGATGTTATTATAAAACTTCGTTCGTAAAATGAATTTGAAGAAAAACTTGATTATCTCATTAGTAACGCCAGATAAAAAGAAATATCGTTACCTTAATTGAATACAAATTCTCTTCATTTCATACGTCAGAAAGATTTATATATCTAATACTCAAGCACCATCTTATTATGATGGAAAGTATTCACGTTCTAGGACTAATAAAATATTTTACAAATAATGTATTGTACTCCTACGACAACATTAATAAAAAAATCATATCTTTTGTTTTCCTATCAATAGATGGCGCCCAAAAGCATAATATACTAGGCCTTTTGGAGTAAAAATTAAATTTTGAGCATCAGTTTTAACTTAAATCGAAGAACATGACGACGACATATCTTAAAAGAATTGGGGGCTGCACACATTAATCCGGTTTTAAATCAGACTTACCGCTAAGCCACGGGGTGAGGGCTGTAAAAAGTATTACGATTCTTGTGTACAGTATTATATATTACATTAAACTTTAAAACAAATCTGACGTGTACAATAATGTAGTTTTGAAGCCTGCATAATCTGTACAAAGTTAACTTGTTTTTAGAATACTGGTATCGGTATTACATGAATGAGACGTTATTCTGTATGTGTATTATACTGCCAACAAAGACTTCAAATAAAACGTTGCTTCAAAATGGTCGACTTCTGAAAGGCGCAGGTTTCAAGGCTATTATTAAAACTAAATTAAAGCGTCCTCTGATGGCATCTTTAACGTCTGAGAACGTTTTTTTTCTTTCTTTTCACAATCGCGTGTCAACGGCATCTCGTGACCCGACTAAACTTGAGGCCTTCAGGCGATGGCTCGAATCGGCTGGACGCTAGTCATTATATGTGTGCACCATGTAGCGCGCGTCCTTTCAGATAAACGCACGAAAAATCGTAGGAAGTCGTCCGAGTAGTCAACAAATGGTGTTAAATGTAACGTTTACTCCACTTGCCTGCGGTTGCCCAGTGGAATTTCAATTGTCTCTTTTGGCGCTATACCGCACGGTTTGTGACTAAATAGCTAATTTATCTCCTACAGATTACACGGGTGGAAACACGTCTTTTTTTTTTTTTAGGCTTAACGGTCACGAATAATTACATCTAGGAAACCACAAGACGCCTTTTACTATCCTGATAAGGTAAATTGTTTGTTTTTTTGTGTTTTTTTTTGGGGTGGGGGGTAATATAAATTAAAATCATTTATTGAATAAAACAAGTTAACAGGTGGGCCGAACATCCTCAAATTTTGAAATAAGAATGAAACGAAATTTAGAAAATACACGACTCAAGTGATTGAGAAAAATTACACACAAAAAAACAGCAGGTCATTTACTGTAGTAAATAAGACACTGATAAAAAAAATGGTGTAACCATGTTTTTTAGGGACTTAAATGTCACCATATCGTGTAAACACTAAAATGAACAATGGCCAAACATTTAACAAAACTCATTTCTATACAAACAGTTTATTTTTTTTAAAGAAACATTGGAAGTTTTTAGAATACAAAATGAACATCTGTTACGTTCAATGACGTCAGCTGCATGTAAACTGGGATGTTATGGTTTCACATACAACCTGGGGAGCTAAAGTGTAATGTATTACGTAGTTTACTCTTGAAACTTTTACAGTGAATTGGGAGCATTAAAAAAAACAACAACAAAAAGGTCCTTCCAATGAAATGTCTGACAGTTAGGCTTAAATTACATAAGATATTATGAACACTTCTTTAACTATAAAAAAATACACAAATATTTAACTGGATTAAATGCACGAAAAACTAATATATATATATATATACGTGTCACAAATAACTGAACTTCTAAAAAAATATTGAAATTTTATCAGCAATTACTTGAGCTTAAGAAAAATATATTGTAGAAACATATATATATTCCGGAAACGATTAACTCCTGGATAAAATATTATTATTACTACAAGTGCTTAAAGCGTTAAAAGCTAGGTACAGTAGGAACCTACAAAAACCACTCGAGTAAGTGTCAAAATCACTATTAAATAAAGCCTTCTACAGGGGGGAAGGGGGGGAACTTTCATGTTGGGCTTGACGCGTGAGTATTGAGCAAAAATAGAAAACATAAAAAAAAAAATTTCGAAGTCATGAAGTTTTCCACTCATCGCCAAAACATCAGGAATGGGCAATTCAAAATATTCCAGAGGATTTTCCGCCAGGGGGATTTCTGATACGAATAAACTGGTCACTTGGACTACTTGGGTCTCCGTTACTTATGGGCGAGTTTAATAATTCTAGTATAAATGAATAAAGAAAAAATATATTAATATATTTTATCAAAAAATCAATACAACACCGGTTACGTTTACAAATAAAAAAAAAGAAAAAAAACCGTTAGGCCTAACGCTACAACATCGAAAATTAAAATACACCCTGAAAGAAGGTGTATATATTTTCCAAAAATAAAAATTGGTGTAGTGGGGTTTTGAATATTATAACCCTATAAGTTAAAGAGAAAAAAAAAGCGACGTTACTATTTCTGTAATAATGCAACGTGAATTTCTGTATACTATTGTGACATAACAGATTTTTTATGAAACATGTTTTTCATTTCACCATTTACACGTGCTAATATACGATTATATGGTAAATTACAGAAGAACTAAATACTAATCAAGGCTGTGCTTATATCGATGGTAAATTACAGAAGAACTAAATGCTAACCAAGGCTGTGCTTATATCAGTGGTAAATTACAGAAGGACTAAAAACTAACCAAGGCTGTGCTTATATCAGTGGTAAATTACAGAAGGACTAAAAACTAACCAAGGCTGTGCTTATATCAGTGGTAAATTACAGAAGAACTAAAAATCAATCAAGGCTGTGCTTATATCAGTGGTATATTACAGAACAACTAAGTACTAATCAAGGCTGTGCTTATATCAGTGGTAAATTACAGAACAACTAAGTACTAATCAAGGCTGTGCTTATATCAATGGTAAATTACAGAAGAACTAAATACTAATCAAGGCTGTGCTTATATCAGTGGTATATTACAGAACAACTAAGTACTAATCAAGGCTGTGCTTATATCAGTGGTAAATTACAGAAGAACTAAATACTAATCAAGGCTGTGCTTATATCAATGGTAAATTACAGAAGAACTAAACATTAGTCAAGGCTGTGCTTATGTCAATGGTATATTACAGGACTAAACATTAATCAAGGCTGTGCTTATATCAATGGTATATTACAGAAGGGCTACAAATCAATCAAGGCTGTGCTTATATCAGTGGTAAATTACAGAAGGGCTAAACATTAATCAAGGCTGTGCTTATATCAATGGTATATTACAGAAGGGCTACAAATCAATCAAGGCTGTGCTTATATCACAACTGGTATGTATTTAACTTTTAATCAAAGTTCGTAAATTCCCAAAGAACATACCTCGTCCGTTCATGTGTCCGTTTGTGTGCCCGTTCATTTTCGACACGTCATCATAAACTTCCCCCGTGATAGGGTTACGACGAACGGGGCCTACAAATAGGCACAAACGTGCAAAATCAACAAATGCTTCGCTCGTGCAAACCAAAATATAAAGAGGCGTAATTCTACTGATATAAGCTTCATCTAACATTTATTATATACACACACAAACAATATAACAAAACAATAAACCTTTTTTTTTTACTTTTCATATA